TAAGCGGTTAAGATTTCATTAGTTATTGATATCGTGCCTCTTAATCTCATGTTGTGTTTGACACTAAGTTTCATGATTCCTTCCAATTCCTTTGGTTTGGTGTTGGAAAGAATGTTGCACACCTTGAATTAAAATACCATATCCCAGTATCAATGTACGTGCAAAACCCAAGAAAAATCAAACAAAGCAAGACCTTGTGTATACGTGCATCTTCGGAGTCGTCGCATTTATACACCTGCATGCTATGAAATGAGCGTAACGATATGCTATCAATATATTATATATATATATATATGATATGATTCCCTTGGTCCTGGAATTAGATGCCAAAAAGTAACTTATCTGCGACTTAATTAAGAAAAAATGAAGTAGTTAAATTCAAACACATTCAAATAATATTCAAATATAATGGCTCCTTGCCAAACAATCTGCATACATATGGATCCACCTAAAGAAATCAAATTCCAGAGACCCACTTTCAATCGCAAAACCTTAATCGCAATTTTGCCTCAGTTTTTAGCGATCGAACCTCATTTCGTGCGAAAGGGTTGCGCCGGACAAGTTGAACTCGCACTTTTACCTCAGTTTTTGGCGATCGAACCTCATTTCGTGCGAAAGGGTTGCGCGGGACACCATGAAATCGCAATTTTACCGCAGTTTTTGGCGATCGAACCTCGTTTCGTGCGAAAAGGTTGCGTTTCGTGCCGTCTCGTTGGCACTGCCCCTGCCCCCGCCTTCAGAAGAGAAATAGAAAAGAAGGAGAGGGCAAGAGGGCAAGAGGGCAAGAGGAGAAGATGTGAAGATGTGAGGATGTGAAGATGTGAAGATGTGAGGATGAGAAGATGTGAAGATGAGCAGATGTGAAGATGTGAAGATGGGAAGATGAGCAGCTGTGAAGATGAGAAGATGTGAAGATGAGAAGATTTGAAGATCAGAAGATGTGAAGATGAGAAGATGTGAAGATGAGATACAGACCCCCACTATTGGAAGAACCCTGCGCTCAGACGCTCTCGGGAATTATGATTTGGGATTTGGGGGATGGTTTATGGCATTGTTTTACCGGCATTAGGTACATTAACTATAAATTGCCATTTTCCATAGTTTTTTTTTTGTATGTTTACCAGAAGGTAATTATCTCCATATTGTCACTATATCTCTCCATTGGCCATTATACATATATTATTAAACAGATCTAACCATTGATGACCACTAGTAACTACTAGTAACCATTCATATACCCATATAATATATACAATCATATTTACAATCATAAAGAATGACCTAATAATATATCCCAATATTAGTAATTAACCATATTAATATACCCACTGAATAATGACATATCGAGGCGCGAGGACTTGGAACTCTTCGAGGCCGCCGAGCCCGGGCGACTGCGGACTCCGGTCGCGGCGGCCGCGGCGGTCGCGGCGACGCGGCCCTGGGAGCTGCTGGGCCGCGAGTTGGCCCGCGAGGGCACCGGCCTTGGCGAACAAAAATATCCAGTGGCAAGAACTGGGCACCTGGCCACCTTGCCACAAGGGCCTGCAACCATGAGAAACCATGGTGATTCCACAGATTTATATTATAGTACCCCCCCTAAAAATCTATCACTATGTAGCACTATATCAAACAAATAGCGGTAAGGAGACTTGGTATAGCCATTTGAATAGCACAGTCACCTTAATTCTGTATGGGGGGGGCTCAGTCCAAATAACTAAGGGAAGGAGTGTGGCGAAAGTTGATGCTTGATGATGCCTGGCAGGAACACACAATGGTCACATCCAAGATTGCTCAGTTTCAGGGGAAGTATGTGAAGGGGTCATAATGGGTTCACTTGAAGTCATTGACATGAATCTGGACAATACATTATTTTTCGATCAATCCTTTTGTTTCAAGTAGTAGGTGGAAAAACAAACATAGTGATCTTGGCGAAGCAAACAAATAAACCACCGATTTTTTTAAATAAAAAATTGGGGATGCTTTATACGGAGATGTGTATATTACCACCCCATAAAATGTATATCACAAAAATGGTGATGACTTGGGGATGCTTCACTATATCGCTTTACCAACATTTGGGATTTTACTGTTCTCCGCCGCTCCCGAGTTTGGTGTCCACACGTCAGGTTCATGACACCGCCCCGCGCATCCCGGGGACGAGGTGGCACTCATCTACTGAATCTATGGACACAAAAATGACAGTTTTCCTTGAGTTGTGCAATTTTGTGCCATGAACTATTAAGAACTCTAATTGAAATTTGAATCTAGTTACTAGTTCATTCCAATCTAGGTGAGCTAGGTGATGAATTTCAAGCGGTTGAAACATCCCAGTTTGCCAAACAAAACAACGGTGTTTTTCAACAAGCCATCGTCAGATTGGTGTGCCTTCGGCCGTGGAGCTGCTGCGTCTGGTGTACTGAAAAGGAGATAAAAGGAGACTTTCAAACGAATTCAGTGCAAAACAGTGAAACATACAAGAAGTTTGAAACTTATATCAAGGTATATCTAAAACTATGCACTTAACATCACTGAACTTTGTATAAAGGTTCTGTAGTACAATATATGGTATGAACATAAAGGACATTTGACATGCATACGGGATATGATGATTCCCTCATGCAGTTCCTGCTGATGTTTCCAAGCCATGCTCAAAAGAGACACAGGAGCCGACTCTTGTTGTTCAATCCCATGTTGGTGTTCCTTTCTGCCCAGCCAACTTCTAAGCCCAATGTTTTCTTTCTTGCCAGTTAAAACCTTTGAAACCGCCCCCAGAGAAAACCCAACCTAAATAGAAAAAACATCAAAGGAATCAAAGGCATATGTTCGAGGCTCGAAACATGTTTCAACTCACATGATTTCTATGTGTGGTACTTTTTGTTATACATTTCGTAGCTTATGTATTTCAGCCAACGTTGATTTTAACCTCCAGGCAACCAGGGGCACAAGGATTCTCCCCCAATGAGATGTTCCCCAGATTTTCTAGGTGTCCAACTGATGATTCGATTGGTGCAAATTTTAGCATTAACACCCGGCGTGCAAAAACTAAAGAGCAGTTTGCTTTTCAAATGCTATGTGTGGACACGACTCAAATAACTGTGGCAAGTCTCATATGGCCGAAACTTCTTGACCCCCAACAACTCCTCTGAGCGGGCATGTTTTGATGCATCGCAGGGAGTCTTTGCGCAACTCCAACCAGGATCCAAAAGCCTGAGTAAAGTTGTTGTCCCAACATCAAAACATTCGTCGTGTTGTTTAAGAAAAAACTACAACTGGGATTCCTCAAATCCATCAAAGAAGTTCTAGTTTTTTGGTGATGGGTTACGTCCCAGTGGAATTTTCGGATCACTGCGACCGAGTCAAGTTCGGCCGCCAGTTCCTCAGATCTATATCTATGAGGGAACACTGGGCCACGACTGAGAATTAACCAACCCCCGCGGTCCGCTTAGCAATCGCTGGGAGTCGAAATGGGCGATCCAAATGATCTCAAGGCACCAATCCTATAAGAATGGTTTACTATTGAATCAGCTTCCTAGCCTCAGCTGCTGGCGGTGGTGTGTTCTTTGTCGACCTTCTAGGTTTTATATATAAAAAAGTAATCCCAATAATAGCAACCTGGCCACACTTGTTTTGGGGCTATACTCGCATACCATGCAGCATACCCCTATATGTATCAGCCTATATACAGATCACCGCAAAAGAGTTTACAACTGGGCATGGTTGGGTTCATCCGCATATGCTCCCTCGAAAAACACCTCAATGCACCATCAGGAACCTCTTGAAATTATTTTCAATCCTAGTGTTTGTCCCAATTCGGTATCCATAGTAATTAATATAAGTACTATACCAATCCCATCTGCATACTGTAGGACTGTAGGACACTGTAGGACCATGAGACAATCCGCGCACCAAGTGCCAAGACGTTTTGGTAACTCCCGTGGGGGCCGCGAAGTTTACGGAGGTTTGTGGTTGTCACTGCGATGGATGTTCAACCGTGAAACCTCCGTTAGTTTATTCCTGGGATTTCCCAGACATGTTTGATGACACCTGCGGGTGCGTCGATGATTACGTGACTAGGGTCTAGGCTGCTCCCAGGGCGTGACGGGCTTGTTATCTTGCCATTTGGTCCCCTGACGTCACGCATCGAGGGAGGAGGAGGGGGAAAAAAAGACCAAACTGATTTCACTGGAAAGCTTACCCTCTGGCAAACCAACATAACTATGGAAAATCACCATTTTGAACAAGTAAATCAACGAACTAAAAAGCAATTTTCAATAGTTGTGTTAAATTACCAGAGGGTATTGGTTGGTAGGTCTTGGAACATGTGTCTGTTAGTCTCACGTCCTCAGCTAACCGCTTTGCTCCAAGAGCTCCATCCAAAGTTCACCGTGACGGGCACGCCATCCTCCCTTCTTTCAGGGTCATTTTCGGCGCCATGGAATATGATACCCAAACGTGTCTCATCCTAGAAAGCATTTATATAAAGCCATGACGTCATTTTCGGTGATGTCATGTGTTTCCTTCTGCCATGGGAATGTTGGCAAACCAGCTTTAAAACTCTCGAAAAGAACAAAGCAACGGTGCTACCTTTTTAACCATCCACTCCATGTATGGAATATCTACCAACATTAACCACTCAAAATAAATCACCCAATATCACCCAACATGTAAGTAGATATACTATGATATACTGATATACCAAAAATAGATGGACCAAATTGCGCTGGTTTGTCAACATTCCATTTCTGAAGGGAGAAAACCCCCCACCCTGGTGGAGCCCAAAATGGGGATCATGATGATGATTGCCCCGGAGTACCCACCCTTGCAAAGATCGACAAGGGCATACACCACTATACCAATTACATCGGATACATCCTAAGGACATCGAGTGATTTTGGCAAGCCTGGCGCATATTTTTGTCACACCCGCAGAAGCCCTATTCACCTCTCAAGTGGCCCTGGTAGCCTAACGCCAGCCACCCGCCACCCGCCGAGCGAAAGCGGTCAGCGACGGCCGCTGAGACTGCGATACAGCCTGCGCCGGTTTTGAATGGATTCAACCGTTCGAAATGAGGGTTTAATGGTACTTAATGGGGATCTACCCTCTGGTAAACTAACATAGCTATGGAACATCACTATTTTCAATGGGTAAATCCACTATAAATGGCAATTTTCAATAATTAGCTATGTTAGTTTACCAGAGGGTAATTGAATGGGGAAATATATGACATATGGGAATACAATGGGATGTATAGCTTGTACAGTAATTAACTCACAAAATGGTGATCAAAAATGGCTACCTGGGGAAATCCCGGCACTACATGCAGGTTTTTAGATACCCTGTGGTAAACTAACATAACTATGGAAAATCACAATGTTTAATGGGAAAATTCACTATAAATGGTGATTTTCCATAGTTATGTTAAATTACCAGAGGGTAATCTATATAGACAGGACAATCATGGAACTCAATCGTTTGATTACTGGAGGGTGCTGGGAAGCCACTACGAAACAGGGCGAATGCGAATCCAGTCACCAGTTAGTGACTGTTAGTGGTTATAGTGGTTATATAGCTTGTGCCAATCCAATGATTTAAAAGGCTCAAGATCAATCAAAATATATGGAGGTTTCCATGGTCATGGTGGTACCCCAAGCTCGCTGGATGGTTTTTTATTTGACAATCCCATTTGTTTAAATGGATGACTGGGGGCAGATGACTGGGGGTAGCTCTATGACTGGGGGAATCATCTCCAACAAGATGCACGATTGCCTGATACAGACAGAGGTCGTCTCTGCCAAGGAGAGATTGGCACGAAAATAAGTGCGCGATCAGATTTACATTATAAACAAAACATAGAAGTAGATACATCGAATCGTGGATAGATTGAATTAGCTTAGATCTTAGATTATCTGATGTTTACCCTCTGGTTATTTAACATAGCCATGGAGAATGGCTCATTTATAGATGGTGTACCTATTAAAAATGATGATTTTCCATGGTTTGTTAAAAAAAAAACGCAGGACGAGGGTATGGCCCGGAGGGCCATACCCGAGAGCGGAGCTAGCAACCCATTGGTTCCATCATGCCAGGGGATTTCCTTGTCATAACATTTCCTTGTCATAATCTCCCGGCCCCATGGAACATAAACGCATACCTCCATTAGGGATTTCATATAGGGTATAACAAAAGTTATAAAAATCCCCCGGCCCCATGGAACATATACGCAAACTTCTATTTGGTGTTTCATTTCGGGTTTACATAAGTTCTCAAATCCGGACTCGCCAAAAAAGTCAAAAGATTGAAAAAGTGGAAATTGCCGAAACGCGTGAAGTCCGCAGAGGGTTCACTTTTCTGACTGATTTTTCCAAAAGTTCGTCTTAGACCAGGCTAACTCACAGATGTACCAGAGTCATAAAACACTGCACCTGCGCAGAGAAATGAGCCTCCCACTGACGTTCATACGACCATTCCGGGACAACCCTCAGTCCTGCCCGTTAAATAACCAGATGGTAGAATAAGTTTAGATCATGCATACCTGCGCCCCCCATGGGCCCCTTGGATGTGCGGGCCCCACCTTTGAATCCATGGTTGATAATCCATTTTTGTCACCAAGTGTTAACCCCACAGAAAAATATCCCCTTACCCCAACTGGATTGTTTTTTTTGTTGACCCATTTGCGTACTGTACGAAACGTGGGATGCACCAGTTTAGATACACATTATTTTGGATTGGGGGATACCTTAGATTATGTTTAGCCATTAAGTTTAGCATCTGCACCCCCGCTGATGGCGAAACAGGCCCCATCCACATACCTACGGCATCCGAGCCTCCGTAAGCCACTGCCGCAACACTCGGAATCAAAGTAGCCTCGTAGATGGAGCTGGGCATGTCATGGCAGGTATCAGAACACTGTATAGGAATAGTAATAATAGGGATATATATATATATAGAGACATTAATTAAAAAATGACTACACATCACACACAAAAAGCATAGTTTCCCAGTCAGTAAAAAAAATAGCAATAAATGACAGTTATTTTTACAGTACTAAATAATTAGTTCTACAAAGAGACAAACCAAGAGATAACACAACCGGAATCATGGGAGAATCATGGGAGATGACCTAAGAAATGGCCCCATAAAAACGGGAGTCTTGAAACCCTGCCGAAACCTGGCAATCCCAAGGGGCCAAGCATATTCTTATCTGGCCATTTGTATCATTTTAGATCAACAAAAATGATGAGCTTGCGAACGAGGTCATCATGTGGGTTTTAGTGTGGCCCACCATCCCATCACAACATATCGCAACCAGGCCTGATTTGGCGTGGACCACAGGCAAACTAATCTCCGGCCGGTCTTCAGGTTTCTCTTCCTGCGTGGATTGCGCTGGGGGACCATCCGCCCAATTTTGGGGAAAGGGAACATATGAAACAGTATACATCCTGTAAACTCACATAGATGTGGCCTACTAGTACCATGAACTCCAGATACGCACATTCTCTGCGATCCGATCGCAGCAATTTCAGGAGTGTGGGTTGCAGACTCCATCCATGTCGCATCAGGCCACCCAAATTGCCATTTTCATGTAACCTATCATCTTGTTCCTCCATGTAGACTGCTTGTTTATAATATATATATATGTATATATTCTGCATATTCTAACATATAACATGTAGAGTTGGCTGAACAAAGGCACTTTCAAAAGCAAAATATGCATAGCAACACAAGTCTCTGGGCGATTTGGTTTCCTCATCAGCCCTGCCCCCCCCCAAAAAAAAAACAACAACTCCCAAACGCAATGATAAATATGGAACGCCACAAGTGGAGGAGCAATCTCAAGTAGCAACATCCACCATCGGTGCGGTTGGTTTAAGTCCTCATTTTGGTGTTGATCTATTAGTTTTGGGTCTACGGACGACTGCTTGCAATGCCACATATCATATGAAACCTACCATTTACTCACAGTCCGTCCATTAAAAGGAACAAAAACATGTATTCTTGCTGAAACTCAAAAACACAAACTGCCATCCACCATCATATGTGGTGCTGAAACTCCGCATGTTTGCATTGTTTTCTTCCATGATTATCGTTTGTGGCTAACTAAAAAGCCTCCCATAAAATGATTCCATCATTTGATGATCAAACTCAATAGGTTGGATAAGTTTGATATCGTTTACCCTCTGGTAATTTAACACAACTATTGAACATGGCCATAGAAATAGTTGATTTACCCATTAAACATGGTGTATGTTAGTTTACCAAAGGGTATTTTCTTCAGGTGATTTATTGGTAACGTGTCAACTGCACGATTAGCGTTTCCCGTCACTTTCTTTTTCCGTGAGTTTATCATCTTAAACCTAGCAGTTTATTCACCTATATACAATGTGGGAAGTCCAATATTAAACCTACCATTGGGATGGTTTATAGCACCCATTTATGATGATTTTAAGGATGGTAAACATGGCATTGGGGACTCACAAGCCACCACTCCGCACGCGTCGCAACGCTGAAAATCCACCAACCCCAATCAAGCCATTTTGGGTATGATTCCCCATATTTGTATATATATTATCGCATATTATGCCAAGCCATCATTTAGGTGGCCCATCTTGGTCCTTCGAAAGTTGCAGGATACACTTATCCATTTTCGAAAAGTACTGTAGTTGGGGAATAAAAAACAACAAAAAACACAGGTTTCTGCTTCATATTTTTTCCGCTGACCAGCTGACCAGCTCATCCATTTTCTGGGAAGCCTGGGAAGCCAAACAACCGTCCCATCCACCAACTGCCAGGTTGTGCCCCCCCCCTTTCAGTTATAAGTTGGCTTATAAACCATAGTATGTATTGATCTGTATTGATATACATATATATGTATATATATGTATAAATATATATATATATATAATATCATAAACCATAGTTCTTGTTTTTTTCACCAACTTAGCGTTCACGAACTGGGGCAGCACCGTATCGGTCACAACTGACAAACATGCCAGTTGCCGGGCATCCCCGTGGCCTCCACGGGAGACACATCCGCATTCTTCGCTTCTAAAACGAAGGACGACTGGTTCTCCCCAAGCCTTGGCGAGAGGTGGTTGGTAGGATCAGATTGGTTGCTTAATGGTTTACATACCTGATCTGGTGGTTTCAAACATCTCGAAAAATATATGAAAGTCAATGGGAAGGATTATCCCATACCTTATGGAAAACAAAATGTTCCAAACCACTGATCAGTGATATTTACAGGGAGTTTATAGTGATTTTATACGGATCTTAAAAGGATATAACATGATATAACATGATACACCCACATAGAGTACAACCATCAGCAGTGACTTAATGCGACTTACAGTACCTATCCAACAAAAAAAAGTGTTGAACCCATCCCCCGCAATATCCAATAGTAAGACTGTAGCCCCCATCATTGGGACGTCAACTCCTGAATAGATCCAATACATTTATTGGGCTGGGAGGGCGTTCCGTGGTTTGGATGGGAACATGAATTAAATTCATCAAATGGAGATGGACCTGCTGTGCAATGAACACAGCAGGCCATCAAAACTCATCTGAACCAGTTACAAGTGCAACATGGAGATTTAAAGAGATCTAAATCCAAATGATACCCTCAGGTAATTTAACATGGCTATTGAAAATGGCCATTTATAGTGAGTATTCCCATTAAAAATGGTGATTTTCCATAGCTATGTTAGTTTACCAGAAGGTATTACAGCAAACAAATATAGCGCATCCTGATTATTGGACTTTGTTGTATTGAGGAAAGTGACTGCATCCCTACACGCAACACGCAACAGCTGGTGCTTGGCATCATCCATAAAGAGATGACTTCCCAAAACGTCAGAAAAAATCTAGGGATCAAATATTTTTTAAATTCAGGCTGAAGTTAAAAACAATATATATATAACATATATACCTTATATATATATTATATCCCAGACCCTGGATGTGTCAACTGAGCCGGGAGCAAGGATTGCAAACTCTGAGAGAAGCGTCGCGGCGATACCCTTGGAGGATGTCAGCAGTGATTGTGGAGCAAAAATCATCGAAGGCCGAGGCTGGGAGACACGACTCATTGTGCCTTGCAGAGCACTCGCGCATTAAAGAAAGCCACCTAGGTCGCGGCTGTCACTTGTGCTGGAAAAGGCGTGAAAAATGCATGAAAAAGGCGTGGAAAAGCCGAGCAACAGCTGTGTTTTTGATATTTTTTGGAGGTCTGCCTTGAAACAATAGCATGGTCAATGCCACCCCTGTGATGAATCGCAGTCTCATCCGGGGTTGACATCAGCTCGCTTGTGTGAATCACTTGGGCATACGTTTTTCATGTTAAACAACCATAGTTATTTAATGGGGTTTATAAACCCACTCCCAACTATAACCAATACATAGAGATGTATGAAATTGGGATAAATTGGGTATTCCCAGTATTCTCCTAGAACTGGGATGATGTGAGACCACTCCAAGTCATTTCTCTCGGGTGCCGTGCTCATCGAAGTTGATGCCTCAACAAAAAGCTGGCAGCTACGTACCACATGAGCCAAACATGTATTCGTAAAGAAACAGTTCAAACACATGGAAAATAAGGAGCAACCATAGTTATTCCCCCAAACAAATGCCAAAATCATCGAAAATAGTGATACCCTCCTGTAATCAAACATGGCAATGAAACATGTCCATTTTCTAGATGATTTTCTCATTGAATTCTGCATATGTATATAAAAATATAGGGGATTTGCATTTGCAATGTTGACTACTGAAGGGCAAGCATCAATCCCAACCAACAGTTCTCTTCTGCACATGGAGGTGCCAATGGGAACATCATCCATAAAAGGCGATATTCCGATCCTTGGTAGTTATTTAAAATGTATATCACGTGTTTGATTATCAGTTGGTTAGTTATAGAAGTTGTATATATATATATATATATCGGGTTTTGATTACCAGTTGCTTAGTTTAAGTCGTATATTCAGTGAAATTTCCGTTTTCCCCATTAATGTGGTGAACTTTACTGGTAAACCCAATAATATATATGAATATATATATATAATATATATAATATATGTATATATATATAGACTATAGATACAAACCATACCATTAAGCAACCATGACTGAGGGTCATTTCACATCATCCCAATTCTAGGGTATACCCAGTTTCATACACCTCCGTATATAGGGAATAGTTCCAAGTTGGTTTATAAGCCCCATTAACTATAATGTATATTCCCCATCAACCCAAACATTCACCAAGTGAACCTAGTTCACCATCATCCCCTGCCATTCTCCGTTCTCCCAACAATTTCATCCCATTGAATTCTACAAAATCCACTATAATCCCAAGAAATCCCATTAGAATCCAAGTACAATCCCATATATCCCATGGTACATCACTTAATTATAAACTAAGGCATGTAACCAAGCATACCATACGGACTATAATCCCATTAGAATCCCAAGATCATCCCATTTTTTATTACACTAAAGAATGTTACCCCAAGGCTTTTGCCCACTTCTCTTGGCTGCTTCGGGCCCTTGGGGGCCTCCCCAGCCCGAAGTATTTTGGGCCCAAGGGGCTATCGGAGCCATTGCCGAAGAACTGCACCACCTCCTCCGCGACCTCTTCACAGACCCCCGCCGTCCATACCTGGCAAAATAGCTGGGATTATGGGATCCCCCCTGAACATGGTACATCTATAGCTGGTTAGCTATTGAAAATTGCCATTTATAGCTGGGATTTTCCCATTTAAAATGGGATTCCATGGGATATCAATGGGATATTCATGGGATACGGGTAAACTAACATAAGTATGGAAGGATCCACCATGTTTACTGGGTAAATCAACTATTTCTATGACCATTTTCAATAGCTATGTTAGTTTACCAGAGGGTATATTTATAATTACTATGTTTTTTCCCCTGATTTTTTTAGAGCTATTGATCCGTAGCCATGTGAACTGATGTTATATAGTTGGGTAAATCATCATTCACTAACCTGAAATAACCAGCGTTTAACGGGATAATTTCCCTAACCAACATCCTAGTGAGGGTTTCTAAGTTTATAAGAATGGAAGATCCCCAAAACCATTACCCTGTCAGTGAAATGGTCTAATTTTGGGTAATTACCCCAATTTGAGGAAACCTCCATATATCTCCATACATAAGATATTACAAGCCGTTGGTGGTACACATCATGTTGAGGTGTATCATTTTTGTTGTTGAGGGATTGAATTTTCAAACGAAAATGGTATACACCACCAGTATCCCCATCGTATTGTAGTGAAATCTCAAAGCTAGGTGCTTGCTCAACATGGATTTTTCAACTGGCGAACCCGAGAACAAACCCAACTGTTGATCTTAAACTTTGTATTCCCATGTATTCCCAAGATTTTTCCCACAAAATGAGAAAATTGTGTTTCGCCCCCCTGGTTTTCCACCACACGTAGGTCCCGGCCCCTTCGCCTGCGTGATATCGGCACGCTGCAGCACTTGTCGCAGCTCCTAGGGGTCAAGGGGCCCTGGAAAAGGTCCATAGGAGCAGTGGGTGCACCAAAAAAAAAGGGTTTCAAAAGCAAGCATCAGGAATTGAAGCCTTACAAAGACATCCATGCGACTTATATAATGTTATATGTTATATGTGATTGATTCATCATGATCTCCCTCTCTCTCTCTCTCTCCATCGCTGTCAGATCACCCAATGATATAGATTGATATGGAGGTTTCGTAAAATGGGGGGGTACCCCAAAGTCCAAGTCATTAGACGATTTTACGATTTTTCAACCCATGGTGACCTTCAAGGATCCCAGTGGGACCTCTTTGGAGATCTTCCCATCATCGTGGATGTCAAAGGTTTTGAAGGCGGACCATAGCACCTGGGGGCACTTGAGAGGGGCCAGGCTCTAAGACAACCCAAAAAATGACATGTTAACCCATACAGATGCGGAAATATAATATATACAGTATACCCACAGTTGAATTTGTTTGATGTTTAGCAAAGATTGTTTATTTCACAAAAATGCGTCACTGTTGGGTTCCTCGTATATCGGACTTGTCAATGCAATGTGTCAGCGAAAAACCTGCCTTTCTGAAAGGCTGAGGATCTCCTTTTCGAGTCAAGTCCACAAGAATAAAAACCATCCTAAACTTGTTGTTCTGAAATCATGTGGTTTACCCTCTGGTAGACATACAAAAAACTATTGAAAATGGCCATAGAAATAGTGGATTTTCCCACTAAAAATTGTGATTTTCCATAGTTATGTTAGTTTACCAGAGGGTATCATGCCTGGATTCTTGGGCTCACCAGGCTCACCAGAATCCTCAAATGAAGATTGGGGATGGCTTACTGTTGGCTTTTCCAAATTCACCGCCATCGGTTTGTATCCATTTATTTTGGTAGCTAACAAAGCCATACATAACCCAAAACAACCATCAAACATTGCGTCATAAGTCATAAATAAGCATAGCAACCCCAAAAAGTGATTGACCAGTCAAATGCTACCAATATAGTGTGATGCCCGATTTGTTTATTTTTGTTTGATCTTCTATAAATCAAATAGTTTCAAATAGGACTGACTTTACTTGAATGCCCATTTGGATTTGTTGACATTTAGAATCGCTAGAATCCAACGTAGAATTCTATGCGCAAAAAGATTCAACTCTAAAAACGAAAGAAACCACAGTCACATAGGATCGTTTATTAGACTAAAACACACGCACACACACATATATATATATATATACATATACATATGCATATACATATACATATACATATATACATATGTATATATGTGTATGCATGTATGTATGTATGTATGTAAGTATGTATGTATGTATGTATGGATGGATGGATGGATGCATGTATGTATGTATGTATGCATGTACCCATATATATATGTATAATTACAGTATTTACATATGCATATTAAAAAACCCTAAAAAACATATAGACAAAAACCATTCAAATAGGATTTTCACGGATTCTCCCTAACCTTAGGAGTTCTCTTAACTCTTGGAATTCCACGATCTCTCCACGGCGTCAAATTGGGATCGGGACGTGCTCGTCGGCAAAGCCATCTTCTCCCAGGCCTGAACCCCATATTTTTGGTGGATATCCCATAGACATAGGCCTGAAACATAGGCTTTATTCATGGTAGGTATCTCCAATAAGTCGGTTCCTGAGTCATGACCATTGATCCCATGGTAAACATGATCGTTTATCATAAACTATGGATTAATGGATAAGCTATGCAATGGATCATTTATAAACTATGGTTGAATGATGTTGAATGGGGTAAAATCCCATTCAACCACAAAGAACTATGATACACTATGATAAACACGCGGGGGCAATAATGAATAATAATGACTATTGTAGTGGTTTAAGCAGCAACGTAACACCGAGGATAAACGATGATAAACATGGGATTTCAATGGGAGTATAACCATTTCAATAATGGCCATAAACGGATTGTAAAAAACCATCCGCAAATAGTACGTTTATTATTGGGTTTACCACATTGAATGGATGTGCAATGTACAACCATTGCAGAGTAACAAATAATCACTGGTAGTACAAGATCTCCATATTGTAACCCTGACTAGCAACGAGTCTCTTTTAATATCTATTGAACGAATACCCACATTGTAAGTAATATCCGTGAGCAACCAAACATGTATAATGTATATAACCGTATTGTATACCCAGCTAGGACGAAATAACACTGTTGACACTTTGTTGATGCGCATATGCTACATAACCATATTGTACGTAACAGTACATTGTTGACCTAGTTCGTAAATAATAACCATGTTGTAGCTAGCAAACAGTTATAACCACGGATAAACTTAATATACCAATTGGTGGTAGAGTGGTAGTAACCATATTGTAGCCAGGTTATATGTGTGGTATACCCCTAATGTATATACATATATAAATATAATTAAATATATATATATATATGGGTTCTGTGGGCTTATCTGGATTACTAACCACTTACCTCTGCGATGCAATCAGCTTGGTCATGCATAAACCAAAGGTTTTAGATTGACATGTGTTGTTCTATCACTCATTAGGGAAGTTCAAACAACCAACCAGGATGCTGATGATAAAATATGATAAACAGCCCTTCATGTCGCGAGTTTCCTCCCAGGCCCTGAGAACAGCTGGTTCAGCTGATGACACGGGATCTTTTTTGATTGCAATCAGAAAATTCTTTACAGCCTGTCTTTTAGATCAACCACCGTATCAACTTTAAAGCATTCATTGAACACGTGCAAATACACTGCACAAATACATGCGCATAATTGTGTATTATATATATACACCAATATATATTTACACATATGTGTATATATATATATATGCAAAATTATATGTTTAGAACATCTGTTTATTTGACAAGAATTGGAATGCTTCTCTCGCTACCCATCATTGACTGATGTACTTTCAATCTTCAGACTTCGCTTTGAACATGTTCCCGTGATGGTGATCCCAAAATTCTCATCCACCATCATTTATCAATCATATCTCCATATTATGTATATATATATATTAATATTATCATTATTATTGTATATTGTATTATTATTATTATACATATATATATATTCCACATCTTTGATGCTTGACAATCCCTCAAAATCATGGCGGAACAGTTCAACCAGGCTACCTGCGGCGCAGAACTCGGTATAGGTGATCCTGGGCAGGGTCTGACGGGTCTGACGGGTCTGAAAATTGAAGGAAACAAACACCAATCAAACAATCATCTGATGCTTTATCCTTTGATTTTCCCATGTTTCTCCGAAATTGCCGCTTTGTTTCTTTAACCAACTTTCAGACATAGCCATATGGGAGTGGAATAACCGCTCATGTTTCCTTCGTAGCCAATTATATATATATTTATTTATTTATTTACCCTCAATCAAATACAGAGTTTGATCCAATCAAATCCAATGATGTTCATTCTTCATTGAATTGGCATACCCTCCGGTAATGACTAACATAGCTACTGAAAATGGTCGTTTATAGTTGATTTACTTATTGAAAATGGTGATTTTCCATAGCTGTGTTAGTTTACCAGAGGGTATTCCACTGACAACTTTCCATGCACCGAGGTAGCTTTTCTGCGTTCTTTTAAATATGTTTCTCCTAACTCTCACCCCAAAAGGTGCTACAAAAATACGCAGTATCCATTTTGGGTATTTTAATGGTGATTATATAAATATTATATAATTATCCAAACTCATTATGATGCTCATCAACATCCAATGGCATTTTTGGGCATGCAACAGTTTCACATATGCCCATATAAACAGCCAAACTCCACGCAACAATACTTACCACCATAATCCAACAGTTGGGTACAGCAGGCACCGCTGTGGGATCTTTGGCACCAGGATAATCTTTGGTGATCATCCCATTTTAAGCCGATGAAGATCATAGATAAACAACAGGAAAAAAAAACATGCAAAAACCCAGGTTTCCGGCCTGCCAGAGCCATCCAGATCCAGGTAGGAGAAAATCTCCTGCACCTCTGCCTGGAGAATGTGGCATCCATTGATATCCACCCTGTCAGCTTGGTTACATGGGTTGATGTGTTACACCCGCCACCATGGCAGACCGCACAAAGCTGGGATGTAATCATGAAATGGGCAAGAAAAAAGACACATCAAACGTCGACCAAATCATCAAACTCAATCTGCACGAAATCTGGTTCCCAAATTCTTGAACATCAACAACTCCAAAGCCTTGAGCTTCCCTTAACATGTTTGAAGCTAAAACCGTCTAAAGCTGGACCCCAGCGGCAGCGCCTCAGTCACGGCTTCTGGGTCATCCGGATGAAACGCTTTGGCGTAACCTGCCGTTGGGAGGTCTGAAAAATGGGATGGTTGGGCCAAGCTCAAACACAACGGGGCAATGTTGGAAACTACATGTATATATATATATATATACACATACATATACATATACATATACATACATATGTGTGTGTATACACTGTATATAATTGTGTATATATGTATATATTACGCACTTGCGCCTATCTATACCAAAATATGTTGTGCACTATATGATATGCATGTATGGATACATATGTATGTGTATGTATATATACATATATATATATACGCTTTGTATCTAAGTTTACATACATAAAGATGCAAATACCAACTGCTACAAATACACCTGGTCCAAGTCAGTTAATTAAGTCCAGCAAAATTAAGGAAAACTGATGAGCAACTATGATATATATATATATACATATATATATATATTCAAATATGCCGCCGGTGACGTTTCATGATACAAATCGTCAAGAAACAAAAAATAACCTACAATAACATATAAACCGAATTGACGGGCCCAAACAAAAAACGGTGGAATAAACCAAACAAAAATTAGCCCTCCATAAGCATCATAAACCAATCCTCATCCCCAAAAGGGATCAGTGGATGCGCCTGGATTGGGATGATGTACTGTATCAAAAATGACTGCCAGTCAATCGATGGATAGAGTGTTTTTGCTATCTTTTTACATAAATCCACAAACATTGGGCCCATATACCAAATAGAATAGACATGGGTGTAAAAAAAAACACATACACTTGCAAGCTGGTGCCCCATAGTCAGTTAACTTTAGTTTATAACTAGTATAACTAATGACAACATGTTAATGGGGTTTACAAACGTTTATATATAAACCAACAAAAACGAATTGCAGGTGAACATGGGTAAACCGTGCATTTCATAGTCAAGTCCTGTTGATTACTGTTGATTTATCTGGTTTCTCCCAAAAAATCAGCATTTTCTGCCATTGTTCACGAGGAGTTTTCCTCCCCATAAAGGCACGGCATTGGTGGTTTTCAATCCCCCACCTTCACGGATCTCGTTCAGCGTCAGGATGCCATCGCCTTGGGATTTCATGGAGATGAACTGATGGGTTTTCATAGAATTTTCGAGCAAAATCAGTCTACTTGGTGGTTTTAACCATTTTGAAAAATGTGAAAGTCAGTTGGGAAGGAGTATCCCATATATGAATGGACGTATAAAATTCATGTTCCAAACCACCAACCAGTTGATATCATTTGATAAAAGTGGGTAAGTACCATGATGTACCATAATTCTCGCAGGATATGGATATATGGGCTGTTTTGGAAGCTTTATTTACTAATCTTACGTCATTCTGAGCGATAAGTATAGGGTCACCTCCTGCCAACACATTAAAACAACCACATACATAATTCAACTTCTATGCGACTATTGTTGTGTCATTATGTATCCACACATTTGTTGAAGTGATTTGGCACTATTTTGCTTGGATTTGACTTTATCCTTTTTTGGGGTGGTTGCTCTATATAATCTCATATCATATATCAACATCATGCCACCTCCTCTTTACAAACCGACATCACTGGGCATCACAGCAGTTCTTGTCCAACATGAGGAATGCATCGCGAATGCCTCGATGATCCAACGAATTGGTGATGTGTAAGGGAAAATCTACAGCACACATTTTTTGTTACATTGCTACTATATAGAATCTAACCCAAAAACAATCTGGGACATTAATCATGATAATGAACCAGCACTAAATCTAAACAAGCTACTTATAGATCTGTTTAAAATGAAGATTGTACGGTGGTTCAACCATAAAAGCAAGGGATAATAGCTGCGACATTGTGCCCCAGTCCGTTAGCAAAGTTAGGTTATAACTAATTTATGGCTAGTATTTCACTGGGGTGTCTGGTAAATACTGTATCTCTCTATAGTTACTGGGTCTATAAAGCAACAAACATAACTGGGGGGCACATGGCGGCACCCCCTTGAAACCATGGGTGTTACCACCACATTTGTGTCTGAAACCATGTGAAAAACCATGGGGTTTTGTGGTACCCCATTTTCAAAGACTCCCAAATATACGGCGGTGTCCTAAAATGGGAGTATCCCATTTTATCATCCAAAATTAGTCCAGTTGAGTATTGAAACCTGTGGTTTGGGGGATCCCCATATTAAAAAAAACAAACAAAACATATGCTGTAGGTGTCCAGCACATGTTCAGCTTATCCGAGATGACCAAAGCTGGATTCCAAGCACCACATCTTGGCCAGGATCTGGTCACAAATGAAACAACCACAACTCAGTCAGATATTATAGTTCCTTATCTTGGATTTGCTTAAGGCGTCCCGGGGTCCCCTAAAAATAAAAGAAATGCCCTATAGTTTTTTTTTAAAAAAATCATAATGCCAACCTTGCGACACCCGCAAACAGGGCCAGAGTGTCCTAAAAAAAGAAACTTGATTTCCCTTGGACGTCACGTTCTCATGTGGCAAAAAAAAACGGCAATGCCCACATATGCCCACATAAAAAAAGAATATACAAACAATTAAACAAAACAAACCTCATTTCGCCAATATTTTCCAATACATTGGATGTGACAAATGACTCATGGTACCTTGACATAAATTGGAATCACCAACAAATCCATCCGGCCTCCCAAACTCCGGTGGTCCAACTGACGCGCCACCTGAGCCGGTGGGACATAGAAAACATTAGAAAACCCAAGGTCTTTGACCGAAACATACATGAGGACCTAGGGCTTTCAAATGCCATTGTTCCATAGTTTCTCCTGAAATCGATCCATTGATGGTTGATGTTTGAATATTCTCTGGGAAAGAGAAAACAAAAACAAGCAACAAGAGTCAGGATCATGAGCAGCTCTGGATATCTCTGCCTCGATCCATTCATCCCACCCGTGCATCATGTGTTCTTTTTACTGATCCCAGCGGCAAGGGTTGGGATCAAACGGCTTGCGACGTGGCAAATTTAGAAACTCTGTGCACGTGCTTGGTTCACCAATCACCCTGCTGGGAATGGAAAGGGCTCTTCTTGGAGTAGTAATCTCCATTGAAGCGAGCCTCCACCACTGGCCTGCCCAGGAAGTTCTCAACACGCTGCTTCAGCTCTGCTTGGCGGCCTTCCCAGACCTTCTTGAACTCCTCATCACGGATGGGGTAGGAGCCATCCACGGTGTCAGGGATGCTGGGGTCTGGGTTGGTCCAGTCGATCTTGAACTTGCGGTACACGCCAGCTCCGGTGGAAGGCTGGCTGTACTTGGGATCCTTGCCATCGGTCTCCTTGTTGTACTTTCTGTAGTAGGCTTTTGCCCAAGCAAACTGCTGCTCCCTAGTGGTGCAATCCAAGCGGATGTCACAGCCCTTTGCCAGGATCTCCTCATCGGTTGGTCCGGCTGGCTCCGTCTTGGCTGCCTCCTCGTCAGCACGGACTGGCGCCACAGTCGCGAGGCTGAAGAACAGTCCCAAGGCCACGCCTCCGACTAAAGTCGGCAGCGAACCCCAGCCATTCTCAGTCTCCATCTTGGGCGTAGCAGCTGCATGCCTGGGAGATGGGGTGCTTCCACGTGGCAAGGCACCTGGCACAAAGGCCAAGCTGCCAGCCACAGCCACCAAACCAACAACTGCAAGGCCGCGAGTCATGCTGATAACAAGCAGCAGAATGGAGCTCAGTGTTGCGAGCACGTGCTTCTTGAGCCACAATTTTTGTTCCAAATGCCATGCAAAAAAGGCCTGTGACATGATCAAAGGCATGTTGCATTACCCAAGGTGGTAACCACCTGAACAGATCATGAACCAACAAACACACCAGCACCTTAGACGACCTTCTCAGGCCCCTGCTGAGGCAACGCAGAAGGTGAAGAAGTCTGGCGCCCGGCTGAACTGCTCCAAATTGCTGAGCACCTGCCGTCATATAAAACCCATCAAAACCTGAACCTGACTCATCAGTTGCGCATAATTCACCCCAAACTCTCTAATCAGAGTGATTTTGGATCAGCACAAGCCTTTAACACATCATGATGATCATGTAAAATATCCTCAATGGATTGCTGAAAAGGACAAACAAATCAAAACGAGACTTGCAAGTTGGTGCCCCATGATTACATAGCTAACTATGGTATATGGTGGATACATCGAACTAGTTGGGTTGTTTTTTCTCAACAAAGAGTCACATGTTTTTTTGGAACAACCATTTCAGCCCATGTTAATCATCTAAAATCACTAGTTTATATAATCTAATGAATCTAATGCATTCTAATGTCAAATTAATAAATCCCATCCCCCAATATGAAAGACTCCCCTGAAAACAAAGAAATGTCGCGCAAAGCCCGGACCCCGGCTCTCCAACCTGTGCAAGGAGCGGTGTTTCGGCCGGCGAAGCGGGGCTCGTCTTCAGCCAGGGATGACTAATGACCTGAGAAAAAATGGTGGAAGGTGATGAATCGAGCGATTTTCATCGTGATTTGCTTGGATTTCAGCATCAAAAGATATCAAATTCGTGATGCGTTTTTTTTTATCCCAGCGAACTTGATGGTGGGAACCATGAAAACTCTGACACAAAAACCACCAAGACTCCCCTGGAGACCATGGAGAGCACCACTCGAGTGTTTCACTGCTTCAAGGGTTGAATCGCTTTGACTTCACGGTGAATTTGGGAAAACTATAGGAAAACGAAGAATTGTATGATGAGTTAGCCAGCAAAACTCGGGACCAGCTAGCTAGAAGATCATGTTCCACTTCGGAATCGCTAAGTTGGTTTTATAACTAGTCTAACTAGTCTTTCATTCGGGTATGGTAGTTGTATCTCTGTAGGGTGCCGTGGGGTGTTTTTAACCAACAAACCTACAGACCGGGGAGCATCCACTTGGAGGAGACAAAAAGGGCACAAAACTCCAGGTGCCCATAGTTAAGTTAGTCTATAACTAGTATCACTAGTGTGGGATTATTATTATTGCTTCTACTATTGTGTGCATATAAATATATAATTATAAACAATTATACTATAGCATTTTATACAATAATAATATTAATTATTATTACATCAATACATATAATCATCAATGAGCTTTGGGCTCATATTCAAAGGGATCATAGTCAGAAATGAAATAGGGTAGTCCAAACTGCAATAAAACAATGGAATTGTGAAGCAAAACTGCTGAAAATGAAAGGAAATCTGCCTCGGCGCCCCCAGAATATGTTATTTGTTTTTATTTGTTTTATGTTTTTTTTTCTATTTTCCTATTTTTTCTTATTTGTTTCTTTTTTTGTCTATGTTTTCCTATTATATATATATATATATATGTTTTCAAGTTTTTCTCAGTTCTGGAAGGTAATTGAATCAATAATTTTAAATATGTTTTGTTATGTTTAATTATTTTTGTATATTTTTTGATAGCTTCCATTATTTGATACAATTTGGTATTATTTATTCTTATCTTAATTTATTATTTATTATCATTATTTACTATTTTTTTATTTTTTCCAAGTTTGATTCTGATCCCTCCTGATTAGACTCCCTGTTCTCATAGAAGATATAACTTGATATAACCATATACATATATATATATATATGTCCGGGGTTTGCAAAGCAACTTTGGAAACGACTGGGGGCACCACATTGCAATGCCCCACCATGCCCCACCGATAAGGCCCAACATTCTGGATTTATCCCGTTCTCAGTTGCAAACGTGGCGATATATGTAAATATCCCTCAAACTTTTCCCCTAATGGTTTCCAGTACAGTTTGGTTAGTTACTAACGCTCAGAAACCTCTTTGTTGTCGGTCAAATCCCTGCAGTGCGTTCTCCAAACAAAATCTCGGCATTACCCTCTGGTAAACTAACATGACTATGGAAAGATCCACCATTTTTACTAGGTAAATCAACCATCAATGGCCATTTTCATCCATTTTCCATAGTTTTTGGTATGTTTACCAGAGGGTATATACCTCAAAACCCATGGTTTCCTCATGAAAAATGCCCAACTTTGGATGGCAAGGCTTAGCCATCCTGGGGTCCTGGGTCATCACGACTTGATCGGCAGAGAGACGCACCTACAGCCGCGACGTGTCGCCTTAATGGATTGATGGGAAAATTGACAGGAACAGCCCATATTCATGGGTCATTAAATGTCACCACTGAACATCACCCAACCATGAGGTATCTCATCTATAATTGCCATTCAAAGGTGATGTCCAATAGCCCCAAAATGGGACATTTACCAATCCCTGATATTTCATGGGAAAATCGATGGTTTCCGGTTAAGATTGTCCCTCAAAAACCAATCCATGGATAGACAGTTAATCACATCCCCTGTTCATATTAAACACCCCATATTTATGGTCCCAAATAAGTGTAAATCCACCACTAAACCATGGTTTATCGGGGGTGTTTAATATTGCGGGGATGGGATTAAATGGAAAAGCAAGACCTCTGACTCAATAAATTCAATATTTGGAAAACATGGCCAAATTTACAGTTCGACACTGAAAAGATCCTCTACAATTTTAGTGGAAACTCATGTTCCAAGCCCGGACTGATGGCATGGAAAACTTGCTAAAAAAATTGGAGGGTAAAATGTGAACAGAACCTGAACAGTTCATAAGGTTAAACTAAGTAACATAGCTATTGAAGATGGCCATTTATAGTGAGTTTTCCATTAAAAATTGTGATTTTCCCATAGTTATGTGGCTGTTTACCAGAGGGTAGCATGGTTTCACACACTATTGACTCCAACATAGGGGACTCAACCATCAGAGACTGGACAAACATGATCTTCTAACCGTTGATTATGGATGGATATGGTGTCTGAAATTGAGGTATACGCCAAACAAATATATGGCACTTTCAACCAAAACAAACATGATGATGAACCAGTGAATTTATAGGTGTAATGGCGTGACCAACCTATGCTCACCACGAGGCAATTGTTATCAAATGGATATCTACATGATCCAAATCAAAGGATTGCACGCAAAAGAAAGGTCTTTTTAAGTGTGAAACATCCTGGTTTGGGTTTGACCTATACCCATATCACCATCCAAAATGAATCACAAGTAGAAGGATTCATGTGTCCACAAAGAGAAGTTGGGGTTAGGCAATTTTTTTTCGGGAATGCTTGCCAGTTCCAGAAAAACAAATCAACAAATACAGGCCAGTACGTATGGGTATGGGTCCAAATTGAGTAATTACCCCACTAATGATACAATTGGATGATCAATATTAAAAAATAGATGATCAAAACTTAAAATAGATAATTAAATTTATTTAATACAATAATTGGATGATTAATACCAAAATTACTAAAAATATACTTAAATCTCTGGTCCCCCAGGTCTTGAAAACAACTGACCCATCGCCACAAGGGACGGCCAACGGACGATCCTGCTTATCTTGCAAAATGTGAAGCGCTATGAAAAATTAATACATATGTACAACAGACACATGTATATCTTATAATGTATATGTATATTATATTTATATATATATATATCAATGTGTTATGTACGTATGTCTGAGTTGTACATATGTCATGTATGTCTATGTCTGTGATCTAGTGTGCCTTGAGAAGTTCCCCACCTGTACATCCGTCTTCAGGAGTTGATGAATCAAATCCTGCGAGAACACGATCTGTGCGGAGAGCTTTAGGGATGACCAATAGGAAAAAAGGTTAGTAACCAAAGATGTCAGGTTTCTCAATGGATTTCCTATAGGATGTTCGGGGAAAATAATTATTGGACTCAAATCAATGCTGTTTGAACATATTTGAAGCAAATAATCACAGAACTCATTCCCGTTTCCAAATTAAGAAGTTTGAAGAGTGAATTCCTACCCAGGCGATGGCGTTTATTTTTCTCTTGTTTTGAAATCGTGAAAATATTCACAGGAAAACCCTAGATTCAAGTTTTGGCGATTTTTCGTGAGACTCAACCCAAATCAAAACCAGCCGACATGGCAACTGAAGATATAAAGATAACGACTTTGAGACCCCGTGCTCACGCCACTACCAAGATTATCCGATTTCTTGAACCCCTCAGTCATGTCGAGTAACGCCCCAATTTCGCTGGTGCAAAACCACATTTTTGATCATGTTGGTAAGTTCAAATCATGAAAAAGTCACACGGAACCAAGCCATAGCGCTTTCCAGCAAGAAAATCATGTTCCAAAGCCATTTTGGCGGATTCCAAGTTATTGCTTTCAAGGAGGCAAAGAAGTTTGTTGCTGGGTAACCTCTGGTCATTTCACATGGATGATTTGCCTAGTCGAAGGAAGTTTAGAAGTCAAACTTCCGACAATATGGACAGATGAAAAGCAGAGATGGGAAGAGTCAGAGAAGAGAAGAGAAGAGAAGAGAAGAGAAGAGAAGAGAAAAGAAGAGAAGAGAAGAGAAGAGAAGAGAAGAGAAAAAGAAAGAAGATCAAAAAAAAAGTCTCAGGAGTCTCAGAAGAAAGAAGATCCAGGTGCGCGAAAAGGTAGGAAAGTCGCGAAACACTATGTTTTTCCAATGATTTGTGGCTCGGGATGAAAAAGTGCGCACCGTTGTGGTGCGAAGCACATTTCCAAGTCAATATGTACAAAACACACCATGCTCGGACCACTTTCGAGAGTTAACATGTCTAATAAGTGCACGCCGTTGTGGTGCGAAGCACATTTCGAAGTCAAAATGCACAAAGCACCTCATGTTCGGACCACTTTTGGAAGTTGAGATGTGAAAAAGTGCATGCCGTTGTGGCCCGGAGCACATTTCGAAGTCAAAATGTACAAAGCACACATCAGCTCCGGACCACTTTTGGAAGTTGCCATGTCGAAAAAGTGCATGCGGTTGTGGCGCGAAGCACATTTCGAAGTCAAAATGTTAAAAGCACCACATGCTCGAGCCACTTTTGGACGTTCAGATGTCGTTTCGCGTGGCAGGCGCAAGGGATTGTGGACCTTGTCAAAAAGTGGGCAAAACGTGAGGGTTTTGTAGCATTTCCAAAAACGATGGCAGGCGTGGGACATTTGAAGAGGATCTGCAAAGATGCATTTTCCGTGGCAGGCGCAGTACAAGAGACATGTTCATCAGAGCTGTTAGGAGGTCCGGGCGCTGATTTCCTGAGAAGGGTTGCATTTTGGAGCATCAGATCTTCAGGTTTGCTGAGATTTCGCGTAACAGGTGCAGCACTTCGTATGACCTGGCATCACTTTTTCGTGGCAGGCGCGGTAGTTTATAGACAGATGGACTGGAAAAATCGCAAAACGCATTGGTACGAGGCCGTCAGCTCTGCACTCAACTTTTCATTTTTGAAGGACGTCTCGCAGAATTGCTGCGTTTTTGATGTTGTTAACTTTAAAAAAATAGGAAGTCTTGCAGAATTGCTTCGTTTTTGATGTTGTCAAGTGCAAAAATTGAGGAAGTCTCGCTGAATTGCTGCGTATTCTCAAGAGTGAGGAATTCTCGCAGAATAGCTTCGATTTCAAGCTTGCAGATAGACAGATAGATAGATAGATAGATAGACAGATAGATAGATAGATAGCTAGCTAGCTAGCTAGATAGATAGATAGATAGATAGAGGTAGAGAGGTAGAGAGGTAGAGAGGTAGATAGGTAGGTAGGTAGGTAGGTAGATAGATAGATAGATAGGATAGATAGGATAGATAGGGTAGATAGAATAGATAGGATAGATAGAATAGATAGAATAGATAGAATAGATGGAATAGATGGAATAGATGGAATAGGTAGATAGATAGATAGATAGGTAGATAGATAGATAGATAAATAGATAGATAGATAGATAGATGGATAGATAAATAGATAGATAGATAGATAGATTAATTAGATTAGATTAATTAGATTAGATTAATTAGATTAGATTAGATTAGATTTGATTAGATTAGATTAGATAGATAGATAGTTAGAATAGTTAGAATAGATAGAATGATACGTAGATAGATAGATAGATAGATAGAAAGAAAGATAGGTAGATAAATAGATAGACAAAAAGATAAATAGATAGATAGAAAGATAGATAGATAGATAGGTAGGTAGGTAGGTAGATAGTCAGAGAAAGAAAAAGAAAGAGAGAGAAAGAGAGGAGACATCAACCACCTTTCGGTCCATCAGTGGCTTCCTCTCCTATAGGTTTCGGTTTTTTGAAACTTCCGCCACCGCCTTGTGCGGTACTGCTGGTGAATATGTAATTAAGGTGGGTGGTTGCGAAGTCCTGCGCCAGTTGATAGGTAGTTTATCCGTGTTTTTTTTCTTCCATGTTTATCCCATTAATAGGGCTTGAAGCATCCTTTTGGTGGGGCAGGATTTCTTCCATACGAGAGGCTAGTTGGGTCCCTGCCTTGGCGTCGCTGGACACGGTATCCCAGAACCTGGGGATCTTGGAAAGTCCAAAACAGCACACACACATATATATATATATTTATTTATTTATTTAGAGTGAGAGAGAGATAAATATATGCAAAGATCATAGATCGATTAGATTAGATTAGATTAGATTAGATTAGATTGGAACAGATTAGATTGGAACAGATTAGATTAGATGAGTAGATAGGTAGATGATGGTAGATGGATAGATAGATGGATGGATGGATGGATAGATGGATGAATAGATGGATGGATAGATAGATTGATAGATAGATGGATGGATAGATAGATCGATGGATAGAAAGATACCAAACCACAGACCCTTCATGCATGTTCAAGAAAAGCAAGTCAATGTGGTTTCTAAACTGCTGCCTGGACCTTCAAAAGTTCAATAAATTCTGTACGTTTGGATTCTTTTTTTTGCGTTCAAAGTGCCAACAATTGAGTTTTGTTAGTGCTTTTGAAGGTCTAGGTGGATTTTAACCGACTGATGGATCTTGATGATTTCTTAACGATTCAAATTTTGGCGGTCAACATACATTTGAACACCTCGAGAAGCTGCCACCCTTCGCTGGGTGTCCCCTGCTCCCCGCTCAGCGGGTACTTCTCCGCACGCATGCGCGCCACTTGTTGCTTGGGGCTGCCCCAGAAGGGCGGTTTGCCCGACAAGGCCACATAAGCCACCTCAGCATGCTGGCAATGCAAGCAAGGAGGGACTTGCTCATGACTTCTCGCAACATGAATGGGTAATGGGACTAAACAGGAGTAAATAATCCAAGATAATCAAGGAAAATGATGAAAAACGTAGTCTTTTCCGAGGTAATTAAAGTTGAAGGTGCTTATTCAATGTTATTCATACTCTTTAACAAAAACAACTCCCCCAAAAGGTCAGATTTCTCCAGGGACATCTTCAAAGTCGCAAAAAATGGCGCTGCCTTTAGGCTTCGTTCCACGCAAAACCGTTGTGATTTCTGAGTGCTCCGGCCACGCCCAAACTCCACAAGTCGCAGGCCTTGATATGTTTAGGCCACGTTAATCGGATCTCATGGGAGTATCTTACCCCCTTTTCAGGCAAACACATGTCCCAAAGAAAAAACAAAACAAAGCCATGAGATCTATCTGTGCAGCGGGCGCAGGTGTAGCCATCATCGTCATCTTCGGGGTCCAACACCTGGTCCGAGGCATTCAGTCAGCTATGCAGCAAACCCTGCTATTTATATACATAAGGATATCAGATCATGGCGTATAACGGGATGGTAATGATGATGTAGGATACAAACATACAAGGTGGTGCCCCATAGTTGGCTGAGTTGGTTTATAACTCCAATAACTATGGTTTTTGATAGATATATCAATACTTACTATGGTTTATAAAATAACTTAAAAGTGGGAGCACAACATTGAACATATGGATAAAACATATGGATAAACACTCAAAACTATGGAAGCTGCCATGTCTAAAAATACCTTTCATCCCGTCTCGCCCATGTAGCCCGTGACAATTTGACCATGAGCAAAGGCACCAAGTATCCGAGATTGGAAGGTGTTGATTCCACAGGGACCGAAGGATATGATGGACATTTATTCATTGAAAATATTGGAATTTCACAGGACATTGATAGGATTCCATCTTGTGATTTCTTTGAATTCGTATTGTTTGAGGGTAAAGTTGGTCAAGCCGGATGATGAAAGACTGCTCGGTGCTGCGAACCTATTCAAACGCGATAGTCACATATCCCCACTGGGTAACGGACGGTAAGCATTGGAAAGCAACAACTTGTTACAGTACTGTCATTGTTCAAAATTAGTGCGTTGTTTCTGGGTGCTGTTCTTCAAAATATAAAAGCTTCCAGTTCCTACCTAACCCGTCCCAAAACCACCAACAAAATCAAAGTAAAATCCGTTTCAATGCCACAGAACCCAAGACAATCAAAACAGGCATGCGGCAGATCAATTCCTTGAAATGCTGCTGAAATGGTTTGCAATATTTTGCAATCACCAAACAAGCCAGTTACACTGGAATCTAAAGAATTGATCCCAATGCAACGCATTAAAATGCTCCTAAGATTTTAAGTTGATGAAATATGAATTAAACCACCAACTGGCATCATCAAATTTGCAAACCTGGTCTTCTCCTTGGTTTCAATCCCCTAAGGTGAAACGAACAACACAGCTTCAAGCGATGATCAACCCCAAAAAAAGTACAGTCCCTGGCCCCAGTCAACGTGATGACCCCTATGTACTGCAGTACTGTTTGTATCAGTTTCTTGGTTTATAACCCCATCGAACTATAGATAAACACTACTTGGTGGTTCATCCAAACCGTGGGTTAGTTCACCCCAGTTAATCAATCCTGCTTCTCCTACTCCAAACCGTGGTCATAACCCACAGATCTCTTAGTTGGGATAAACCACAGAGTCGTTATAAGAGTTACAAACTAACTTACCTTATGATGAATCTGAAATCGAAAGTTTCGCTGTTTCAATTCTCATACTTTTGCTTAGCCCCTATGTTTTTTTTTTAGGGGGTTATAATGTCAACCCCGGATTAATATACCCTGGTTGATTAATCAGGGGGTATTCCCCAAATAGTCATGATTTCATACTTAAATGGTCCCCCCAGTTAAACAGCCGTTTAGGCTTTATTAATTGGGGGTTGACATTAAATATAGTTCTAGGTAAATTATAATCTTTCACTAACCAGATGATTTTCCCAGCTAGAAACCTCCATTTATAATGGATTTTCCATAGCTATGTTAAATAACCAGATGGCATATCACCTATATTTAGTAGGATTTCCATTCTAATCTATCCATTTTGACAATTTGATCTATAGCTATTGGGATGCCCCATGACGAAACTTCCCAATAAATACTGGTTGGTGGTTTCAACCCCTCTGAAAAATATGAACGTCAGTTGGGAATATTATTCCCAATAGATGGAAAAATAAAATTAATGTTCCAGTCACCACCAACCAACAATCTAGTTCCATTTTGACAATTTGATCCAGATATTGGGGATGCCCCACTATGGAAACTTCCCTATAAATAATGGAACAAATCCCAACTCCCAAGCCGCGCCATTGGTCGTGTTTCGGGCCTCGGGCGCAGAGTACGTGGAGGTCCCCACCGAGGACTTCATGCGGCCCTGCTCGAAGCTCCCGGCGAGGCCCCAGTCGATGACCTTCAACGGGAACTGGGGAGAATGAATCTAGAAATGATGGGAAAAAATGGGTTTAAGCTAATCATGAAAGGTTAGTAGATGTTAGTAGTAATAGTAACTGATGTTAATTTAATGATATATATATATAATTAATGGGGTTTTAGAATGAATCTAGAAAGGTTAGTACAAGGTGGTGCCCCAGTTCGTTTGCTAAGTTGGTGAACATAACTCCAATATAGTAACTATGGTTTATGGTCGATATATCAATACTTACTATGGTTTATAAACCAACTTTTAACTGGCGGGCACAACCCTATAGGGAATCTAACATGATATAACTATTTAGTTCATGGGTTGATTAACCAGCCATTAGGATCATGCTAAATAATGGAGTGGGAGTAAATACCACCAAACATCCTTCCGGGGGAACATGGAGTTTAAAATGTCGGGGGGTACAAATTCCATGTATTTATGGGATATTTACCAAGATTTACTATGCAAACATAATGGGGCAAGTGGGCGCACACACATACTCTTACTTGGGTGCTAATATAACATATAAATACATATAAGCTATAACAATCGTTATGTATAATATGTATATGTTGTATATATATATAATTACATCTTATTAAAAAAAAAAAAAACTTGGAGGATCACCAAATTTGATACAAATCATTTTAAAATGTCCATGTGTGAAAAACCGGACGGTACACTTCAGCAGCTCTGAACGGTCAGATTTATCAATTTTGCAGCAGGAAATCCTGCATGCTTTGGGATACAGGAGAAACTGGGAAGAGTAAATGCATAGTAACTGGGTTAGATTCCTTCATATCCCAAACATCCCTTGACATACACCATATATCACCATATGATGGTATGCAAGTACCACCAGTCATAGCAGGGTAGAAGCAAGGGCTGCGGCCGGATTCTCCAGTACGGCCTTGACGTGGGTGCTGCTTGGCGACTTCTCACAGAAGCAAATGTTTTCAAGCTTCAAATCCTGAGCAACACCATAGGCAGAAAGGTGATGGAAACATCTGCGATACCTCAAAAAAAATACACAAGAAACACGGGTGATCATGGGTACATACACATCGCAGCAAAATCTGTTCGTGCCACTTCTATCCCTGTTCTTTACACGCTTGTGGATCTCAAACAGGATGGATTCCATCACATACGGGCCCGTGCCCATATGAAACCCTTTTTGGGGCAAGTTTGGATAATTTTGGATGATAGATCAGTAGTACCCTCTGGTAAACAGCCACATAGCGAACTGGAAAGATCCACCATTTTATAGCTGGGTAAATCCACTATAAATCACCATTTTCAATAGCTTTTTGTATGTTTACCAGAGGGTAACAGTACTTGGTGGTTCATCCCACTTAGTAAGTGAGTTACAACCCTAATTATAAGTGGATTAACCCTACTTATCCCATTTATAACTGGGGTTATAACCCATTTACTAAGTGGGATGAGCCACCAAGCAGAGGGTAGCAGTAGCACAAAGAAAATCATTAGGATAGTCCCAGGCTATGGCTACCAGGCCCCCGACCCAGTTGGTGACCCAGTTGGTGACCCAAGGCACGCGATGTGCGATGCCTTTGGAGTGCGCGTACTTCAAGGCACTGGCCACCTATGCTGCGAAAATGGTAAGTAGGACCCCACAGAACCCCAATTTACTGAATATGGGTTATATCTCCATTTATATATATTATATATATATATATTATATATATATATATGGGATTATATGGGTTATGCATGGATTATAAACCACTTAGGTGGGATGCACATCCACGTAACCATTCAAAGTTGCGGTTTCTGCCACAAGAATAAGGATGTAAGCATGAAACATAGGGAATCAAGCCATGAGTATATAATTTGATATACGGCTATGTCTGAAAATGGGGCACCCCCAAAATGGCTATCTTAGAGAGTTTTTTGCCGGGATGGTATATTCCAAAGATTCATTTCGTTCAACATCTGGAACTACCCATGCCAGAGTTGGAGTACCGCAAAGCCAACGATTGAGCTTGGCAACTGTACCCCGAGAGGCTCCCCATTTGGGATATATCGGATATCATACCTGCCCTGGGTCCAAAGACTTCCGTCCTTGGAACTAATGTGAGTAAAGCACTAGTAGACCAGCCACAATTTTACCATAAATTCGTGGTATAAACCATGAGCATGGTTTATGAATGCTTTACTACCCTCTGGTAATTTCTTACATATGGAAAATGGCCCAATTATAGATGAATTACCAACAATGGCTACTTGGTGGGTGAGCCACCCCTCTGAAAAATATGAAAGTCAGTTGGGAGTATTATTTCCAGTAGATCGAAAAAATAAAATTCATGTTCCAAACCACCAAGCAAATATATAGTAAATCACCAAAGGGTATGTTTTCATATCTGCCGCAGCAATCCAATAATAAAACATTCCATTAACCAACCACTTGGGGGTCATGTTACATCCCAACAAGGGTGATTTTCCAGTTCGCTCTTACTCATCCCCATGTGAAGCACCATGTGAAGCAGCACCAGAACCGACAGAAAAACCTTCCCCTTGGAATACTGTGACCAGCTGGGCGCCACAACTGGTTCCAGATTTTTAAATGCAATGTTGGCATAATAACGGCAGGTATAGATACTTATTACACACATATAAAAAAATATATATATATATACTATTATTATTATTACTATTATTTTTTACTATTATTATCGTTATTATTATTATCGTTATTATTATTATTATTTTAGTATTATTATTATTATTGTTACCATTATTTTTATGATTGTTATTATTACTATTACTATATATATATATATATTATACATACGAGTATGTATGTATATCTATGAATCAAAAAAAACTGCAAATATCATTTCACATATCAAACAAATAGGTCTTGGAAGGGGGGATGTCATTATATATATATATATATATGGGTGTGACATATGAGATATGATATCAATATATGATATATGATATATGATATGTGATATATGATGTGTGAAATATGATATGCATATATGCAATCAAAAACATGTATATAGTTGGTTTCCCCAATCTACGCCACAACCCGCCAATTATTGCACCTGCTTGATGATGGGAGCCATCATGGTCTCTGGCAACTTCCCATAGTTGGAATACCTCCAGGCACCACGGACGGAACTTCGGCGTTTTTTTCCTCAAAAGGCTCCAGTGTTGCTTTTCTTCCATAGTTGGAGAACCACTTTCCATAGGTGCTTAAACCGAGTTCCTAGTAGTTTTGTCAATCTCTTTCTCTCTCTCTCTCTCTATATATATAATTTTGTCCATTTTCTTGAGGACTAGGAAAACAAGCCGGATCTCCTCACACCTCAACAAATCCCGGTGCAGGGACTCAAAGATCCATCGCTGGGGTGAAAATTTACTGTGCCATGCCGAAGACATGGTCATTGCCAAGTCGACCTGGTAAATCCATTCCCAAAATGGACAATCACCCCTTTAAAGGGTAGGAATGGCTGGGAATTTATCATTTTCAGATTGGATTTAGAAATGATTTAACCTCTATTCCATGATATAAAGTTGCGTTTGTTTACACTCATTTCCATTGCCAGTTGTGGACCAAAGGGTACACCCATCAAGGACCCTTTGGATCCGCGCCTATCGAAGAGATCGCCACCTTCGCAAAATTCGATGACGAAGTACATCACTCGTCCCTGCCGGTTCCGGGTCACTCTGACCGTGTCAGGAGGGCCCGACTGGAGAAGTTGGGTACTGGAAGATGCAGATATGTTCCGGGTCACAGTTGCAAATCGGACTAAAAAATCATATGCAAATACAAATATACAACCCTTAGGAATATATAGGAATTACAGTCCCATTTATAAAATAAGTGACATGACTGTGATGATGTTCTGATTTTGGAAAATATATGAAGGCTGTCCAAGAATATTGACCCATGACGGCTGGGGATCTTCCATCGAAACCCCCGGATGATTTCCGTGTTTTCCGACGGGCCCCCGAATTTCCAGATGCCACCGAGAGGAGTCTTTCCCCCAGACATAGTCCATAAATGTATTCTTACCATGAAGAGATTTGTGGATGAATATATATATATACACACCTCTGCTATTAATTACACATCATATTACATGATCCATTTACATACCACAAATAAAAGAGTATAATTACATTATGTAAACATATCTGTTATTGCAATTTGTTTTACATACCGTACATGGAAGAAACCAAATTTACCCGAGAGACCTGCACATCGTCATTTCTTGGAGGATCAAGACCCCCTTTCGCGGCGACCCCTGGGCCGCCCTCGCATCTCCAACGTCAGTTTTGTCAACAATTTGACTCACCAGCTTTCATGTTTCACAATCAAAAACAACCAAAGATCTTCCAAGCTTCTTTTTCAAGCTGCAACTTGCCAACCAGTTGCCAATCTTTTTTTGCTGCCAACCAACCTCAATTTTTACCCGTCCTCAACAACCGCCCCCGCGTTGACCCGTTGACCTGACCTGCTCATAGGTCTCAAACAAACGACAGATGTTGGGATGATCCAGGCGCTTCATGATGATCACCTCGGACTCCGCCCGAAGCTCTTGGAGCCCTAAAAGAACCCACGAGCTGGTTGTTGGGAACAACTGTCAAAAATGGTTACTGCATATGGTTATCTATGGCTATATACGGCTAGAAAATGCGGTTATCATATATGGTTTATTGTATGTTATAGTGGGATCTAAGGAGGGTTTATGTTTTAATCACCAAGCATCTGGAGAAATACAAGTAATCAACCGGAACTCAGGCAATTTTGTGACAGTTCGCCTTGCAAATCTCACCACTGACATCGCAATGAGGTGGTTCATGGTGGTTCCGATTTACCCAGGTCCAAAATTATGAACCCAACAAATTGATGTAAACCTCCAAAAATGGATTCAATCAGTTCAAAATGACAAATTATGAACCCAACAAACCCATTTTAGTTTGAACCCACCAGTATTCAAAATGGATTCACACTAAAATGCGGCTCCAAAAATGATGAACGGATTCCATGTCATCACGAAACTGCCTTTGGGGGTGTTTATGATTGGGGGGAAGGGATTGGCAAATATGAACACAATTGGTTTCCCGTTGTTCGACGAAAACCCAGGATTTGGGAAAAACCTATGGGTGGAATTGTCATGAATCGTCCAGTACAGAAGTGTTTGATCGCCAGCATTGCGCCGGAGATGACAGTCCGCACAAGAAGTCTGTTTCACAGTTTTCAATCCCAAGAAACACCCATCAGTTCGCAAAAAACAGAAGGCTCCAAAAGAAAGAAGCGCAATCACTTTGAAAATACACATGGGTCTGTCTGAAATTGATTGGTTTATCATCATTGAACCCATCCCCATGACCATCATGACCCAAGTCTCGCTACCACAAAGGTGGTTCCAAAATAAGGCCACCAACGGCACCAACACACCACACATCACTACACAAGGGCTCACCACTTGACCAGCTATAAAATAGGCTACATACACTGATATATAAACATGATTTATTGATCATTCATCATATTATATGTAAATATATATATATATATATATATATGTAAATATATATATATATATATTTGCACATTATTGGAGGGGTCACTCTTGTGGTTTCACTGAATCCCCCAATGATGACCCGTCACATCTGCACTGCACCTCCTTTTTGAAGGCCGAGTCTTTTTCTTCGTCAATCTTCACCACCTTTTTGGGGGTGGCCCGGTTTCACGAGGATGCCTGTGCATGCTGCTGAAAAACGTATCTATTTGTTAAAAACTGCAGTATACCGGTACCCTCATCTATTTATTTATTTATTTATTCATCCATTCATTCATTCATTCATTTATTTATAATATATATCCCATATATATGTGGATGATATATTCACCAGGCACTGCAGAATCTGCAGCGATTTCGAGCGATTTGGAAGCACCACAGCAGTTGCCAGCTGGGTCTTATTCATCCCAGTGAAGGCCCGATAAGGAAAACCCTGGTTCTCCGCCGGTTAGTCGCTCGGTTATGACTCATGTGGCTGGGATATTTCAAACCTAATAATATCTGATATCATATAATATTAATTATAATGTATTTATGATGATATTGTAATATGGGAACTGGCTAAGTAGAATCAACACTGGCTAAGTGGAATCCATCATGTTTGGTATCCCCAGGGTCGCACCTTCTTGATTGCGACTTCCCGATCTTTGAACATCCGATCTTTGGCCAAGAAGACCTGGATACAGCACGGCAGGCACGGCAGGGAAGCATCCAGGGAGGTTAGAAAGGGTGAAGCAGGATCCAGCTTCCAAACAAAATCATGATCCACACCATCGCCTGTCATCAGGCAACATCATCATTGAAACAATATTACGTTTTTTCCATCTTGTTGTGCCAACTCCACATGTACCAAGTTTCAGTAGTGTTCAAAACCTGCCATCCAGCGGTTCAAAATTCATGGAGCAATCCCCAATAAATAAAGGGTAGTATTGTGAAATGCCTTCAGCCGACTTCTAAGGAAATAAACTTTTTGGTTTGCTTTTGTTTTTGTTTTTCTTCCAGCTGCGTTGCTGCTTGGATTTGCTTTTGTTATTTTTTTTGCTTTTGTTTTCTTTTAAGAATTAGGTTTGGATTAGGTTTTGCTTTGTTTTGGATTTGTTTTTTTGATGATTTTATTTTTTAATCGATTCATAGAAGTTGCCTGTAAGCCGTGTCACAAGGGTAGTAACCCCCACGAACTAATCATCAACCAACCATTGTTTATCAATTACATCTCCATATGATCCATATGTTTGATGGTTGCTTTTTTCGTGCACATGATGGCTAAATCCCAAGAAAACCACCATCAATCAGGGGTTTCTATATATCATGATACATGCACCATCAACCCTAGTTCGATGATATACATATATATATATATACATATATATATATATACATATATATATATATATTTGTTTTTTGTACGTATCTTGGTAAGTTGTAAACTTACTTCGCCATTCCGTACTGGGGCACTGCCTTCCAGCGGAAGCCAGCCTTGCCATAGCCACCGATGCCAATTTCGCGCATGTCAATATCATACCTGGCGTAGCGCCAGGCGGCCATGGTCCCCATCATTAAGGAGCCGTCGAAAGAAAGACACGGTAGTAGGGATTCAAATTTGGCCGAAAATAGAACTTGGACATCTTCATGGATATATGATGATATATGATGATATATGATGATATATTATGTGTTTATCATGTATGTTTATATATATATATTATGCTTCTGTTGCTAATCTCTCTTGTATGCACTGCATATGATATCTAATCAACAGAAACCTCTTACTGTGTTTTTTTTGTGTTCCATGGTTTTGCCAAGCTCTCTCGGGGGGGTTGTCCTTGCCTCATCCCATACAGCTTGCCACCATAGTTTTCTCATCCCATTGTTTTAAATTGAAGTACTTCGTAAGTTAGGTTCACGGCGTATAAATCCACTTATATATATATATGGAATATCCCCATGAATCCATCATTGTTTTTGTTTTTTAACGTTTTTTTTCTCCGGAAGGGCTAGGTTTCTGAGTTTCCTACCGGTGACCTGCTCCCGCGCTCCCGAAATGACCTCTTGGAGATTTCAGCATCGACGCGCTCAGACATCAAGGAGGTGGTATCAAAGGAGACCCTGGAGTTCCTGAAACGACCAGCGCCAGGTATAACGAGTGGAATGGTCAATTTTTTGATACCTCCTGGTTATTTAACGTAACTATGAAAAAATCACAATCTTTAAGAGGTGCATCATCATAAATTATCTGTGAATGATGGGCTAAATGATCCATGTTCCGTAGATTAATAGATCATAATCATAGCATATATGATAAATAACAGCTATATAGCATATATGATAAATAATCAGGGGGTAGTCTTCACACGTAATTTTTAAATGGACACCAGATTTCCAACCCTAACAACCCCCTCTTGTGGCAGGATCAACAAAGCAAACCACACCGAAGAATGGACGTCCTAAGATAAGTACACAGATTCATGTACCGTTCTGCGCGCAGAAAAAACATATACAAGATATGAGGATGTTGTTGTGCTTTCCTCTTTTGGTTGTTCCATTCTTAACTTTAACACATGAAATTGAAACAGGCTTGAATTATGTACCCAGAACTGGCTATTCTCACTCCTTAACTGGTCCTCATCTATTACAGTACAGTACTATATAATCTACCTGGAGCTTCCCAATACTGGATTTTTTAAATTCCAAACCCAAAAAACACGATTTTGGCGGTTGGTGTGGAAAAAAGAACACCGGAGTGGTTTTTGCCGTTTGGGACACTTCGGACGTTCTGGAATGGAAAAAAACGTTTCAAAAGCGTTAAACAAACTGTCCAAACCGTTCGGAAGCGTTCTGGCTGGAATTTTAAAAACGTTCTGGAGTGGAAATAACCGTTCAGGAGTTCTTTCTCAAGCAAAATCAATCGATTTTGGTTTTGGTGTGGAAATTTCCACGATTCCACGATCAAGAGGATCCAGGTATATAATATATTCTATTAGCCGTGATTTGTGTGGAATCCCATTCGGGTTTTATAATTTGTAGTTGTAGTATCATGCTAGTGTTTGAATCAAGTTCAAGTAGATGGAATTGAAATGCGCCCATCTGCCAAAAAAAACTCGGAACCCATTTAGAAATCCGGGTTCCATGGGAAATTTGGGAAAAACCAAAACAACCACTTAAATGGGTCATGGGATTTGCACAATTAGCTAACTAGTGGGTAACTGGGTGATAATCCCAATTATTATGCCAAATATGACCCAATTGCCAGGGGCCATCTGGCTTATAGATAACCAGGCCTGCAGGACTTGAAGTCATCCCCCAGCCCTGGCACCTCTGGCCCTCTTCGGTCTGACCCCTCTGGCGACTTTGAAGCGATTTCGTGGACCTACCGCTGTAGGCATGACCCCGGGTACTGCTCAATGCTGCAAATATGACATGAGAACTCTAGTATCTATAACCCATAGGATCCGTGTATGGTATATATATGCTAACATTTGGGGTATGTTGATGGTAAATGTTACCATATATAGCATACATGGATCCTATGGGTAATTAACACGTTTTGATATATAAGTTTTGCGGCGTGAATGTTGGATATCAAAACGCACCAAGTAATTATTTGCCAAAACGTGTGAATGGTCATGTTGTTTATTAAAACATGAATGAACATGATTAAATTATATCAAATGATGCGGGGTACAACATGCCAGAACCATCTTGAGTCTTTAGCCATTCTCCAACTCAGCATTGTGTCGGAACCTTTCTTTGCGACCTTCCATGGCCTTCCATGTGAAAAGGACTGACTGATCTTACAGGGTTGCCACTGACTGCCATCAATTGTTTCAGCGTTTGACAAAACATGTCCGTTTCCTCACGGGTTCCCTGAAAGTGCAAAATGAAAACAACACTCACCAAAGAAACTTTAGGAACAAACATGCATAAGTCTCGCTCGCTCGCTCTCGCTCTCGCTCTCGCTCTCGCTCTCTCTCTCTTTCATGTTCAGCTTTATTGACCTTCGGCTTGCAGATAATGTCCATGGAAATGTGCTGGAAATCCAGCAAGGGAATCATTGAACATATTTTCCTGCGCACTTTTCTTGGCATTGTTTTTTGAATGGATGTTCAAATCATACACATATAGCAATAAAAATGTCCCATGTGAGTCACTATCATTACTATTTCCATTCCCATTGCCATGATTATTACCTTTAGCATGGTTATCCATGATTATTAAGGCGCCAATACTGAATGGTAATTTCCATGACTATCACTATTATTGATATTGTTTTTGTGATTTTAATTACTGTTATTAATATCATTGTTGTTATTACCGTTACCATTGTCATTTTTACTATTACTATTACCATGGCATTGGTATTTGCAATGACTATTACCATTACCGATACCATTGCAATTGCTATTGCTATAAAACGCCATTGCTATTTCTCTCCCTCCAACACCCTCTCGTTGGTTGTTCAGCTAGGCTGTGAGCAGGTGGCCCTTCCAAACGGAACCATTGCTATTGCGAGTTACTCTTTGGAACATGTATAGATGATCTATGATGATTTACCCACTAAAAATGATGATTTTCCATGGCTATAGTTAAATAACCAGAGGCTGATTATACAATTCATCTTGCATCTCACGACTTCCAGCTGCCATTCTTCAAGGAATAAAACTCAAGGAATAAAACTGAGTGCCCCAACTCCACACGCGCCGTGCTCGGACTGGGCGCCCGCGGGTTCTGACTCGACATGGAGCGGGCGGAGAGCTCTGGCCTCGCAGCAGGCCAATCGGGGCTGGGTGCATCAAATCACCAACCAATAACAAACTGCAAATAAACTGCAAATATTGTGTCATAGATAGATAGACAGATAGATAGATAGATAGATAAATAGATAGATAGATAGATAGGTAGGTAGGTAGATAGGTAGATAGGTAGATAGGTAGATAGGTAGATAGGTAGATAGGTAGATATAGATAGATAGGTGGATAGGTAGAGATAGAGATAGAGATCGAGATAGAGATTGAAAAAAAGACATAGATATAGATAGACAAATAGGTAGATAGATAGATAGATAGATAGACAGATAGATAGATAGATAGATAGATAAAAAGATAGATAGATAGATAGATAGAAAGATAGATAGATAGATAGGTAGGTAGGTAGGTAGATAGGTAGATAGGTAGATAGGTAGATAGGTACATAGGTAGATAGGTAGATATAGATAGATAGGTGGATAGGGAGATAGAGATAGAGATCGAGATCGAGATAGAGATAGAAATATAGATATAGATATAGATAGACAAATAGATAGATAGATAGATAGATAGGTAGATAGGTAGGTAGATAGATAGATAGGTAGATAGATAAATAGATAGAAATACAGATAGACAGATAGGAAGGTGAGTAGATAGGTAGATAGGTAGATAGGTAGATAGGTAGATAGGTAGGTAGGCAGATAAGTAGATAGATAAGAGAGGTAGAGAGATAGACAAACAAACCAATAAACACATAGATAGAGTGTGGAATAAACATATATAGTATTTGTGTGTACATGTCATACGAGAACTATGTATAGCATTTACATGTATAGTATCCACATAGGTATATTTTAAGCCAAAGCGCAGTAACAAAATATACCAGTATATACACTAGCTGGCTGGTATGCAGTTTGCATCTGTTTATTGTACAAAATGGTGCGTGCCATGGAATCAGCTGGCAAAAAAAAACATGGTAACGGCGTTGATAAGAGGCCGTGCAGTGGTGTAAGATTGACATTCCATCATAAGTGTTCAATTTCAATTTCGTGAGGGTTTTTCAACATTTTCATCATATCATGGTGTTTTCAATGAGCTTAAAACCACGTAGTGTTCACCGAAAATATTGCTTTTTGAGCGTTTTACCTCATAAAATGGCATTGTTTAATGACAACCCTTGTTTCCGAAATTTTGTGTGACATGAATATTGACGTAAGAGAAACCTAGCAGTAGTGTCGCATGACGTATGTGTGGATGTGCAAGAGAAACTAGCAGTAGCGTAGCACGACGTATGTGTGAATGTGCAAGAGAAACTAGCAGTAGCGTAGCATGACAAGAGAAACTAGCAGTAGCGTGCAAGAGAAACCTGGAAGTGCAAGAGAAACTAGCAGTAGCGTAGCATGACGTATGTGTGAATGTGCAAGAGAAACTAGCAGTAGCGTAGCATGACATATGTGTGAATGTGCAAGAGAAACTAGCAGTAGCGTAGCATAATGTATGTGTGGAAGGGCAAGAGAAACCTAGCAGTAGCGTCGCATGACGTATGTGTGGAAGTGCAAGAGAAACCTAGCAGTAGCGTAGCATGACGTATGTGTGAATGCGCAAGAGAAACTAGCAGTAGCGTAGCATGACGTATGTCTGAATGTGCAAGAGAAACTAGCAGTAGCGTAGCATGACGTATGTATGGAAGTGCAAGAGAACCTTGCAGTCGCAAAGAACGTTAACATCCCCCCCCATCCCCCACCCGGTTCACAATCACAATGACAAGAAGAACACACAAAACCGAAAAAATGGAGACAGCACACGGCCCCTTAACAGCGTCGACACCAAAAACATCTATAGAGCTGGGTTAGCTTGCAGCTCAAGACTTGGGAGCGAGTTGTGTGGGAATCCTGCGCCAACACATCGCGCATTCATATGACTAGTTGAGAAACATTTTCGAAAACATTTCAGGGATCAATCAATCGTTAGGGGTAACTGGCTTTTGATATGCTACCAATTTCGAAGTGTTTTTTGCCCGTCCCTGACTCCAAACATCTCCACTACCCGTGAACTGATCGAAGAAACTAATTCAGATTCTATCGTGTTTTTCTGAGGTTTGATGAGGCCGACAAGCACTTTCAATCTCCAGTTCATGGCCCTGGCCCTTAACCTCTGGTAAACTAACAATAGCTAGTGAAAATTGCAATGTTTAATCATTTAAAGATTTTATAGTTGAATTACCTATGAAAAAATTGTGATTCTCCATACTTATGCAGTTATGCTTAAATAACCAAAGGGTTAACCAAAAAAAACTCTGGAAAAAACACGGCTGGGCCGCCGAGCGAGGGCACGATCAAGTTCCGCGCCAGCTGCAAGGATTGAGTGGAAAACCTGGATCAATTCCCCAATGCGTGGTGTCTAAGGTGACAGGGTTAGTGCTTGTTGTTGTGAAATATGGGGGGTAATACTAGAATAAACATGGGATAAACTCGATCCTAAGGCATGGTTATGAGGATATATGAGGATATCATGTGGGAAACTTATGTGCTTAATAGGCTGAATAGAAGAAATACTTTCTTCAAGTAATCCCCACCATGGCATTCTATCTGACATCTCTTCTGACATTCTATCTGACACTCTATGTGACATCTTGCGCTCACCAGTGAGGTCCAGCAGTGCCCACTGAGATCTGGCTCTCGCAGTTGGGGCCCGGTATTGCACTGAGATCTGGCGTTTGCAGTTGTGGTCTGGCAGTGACCACTGAGATCTGGAGTGCCCACTGCGGTCTGGAGCTCGCGGTTGATGACTGAGATCTGGCGCAGTGGGCACTGCCCTCAACTGTGAGCGCCAGCTCTCAGTGGGCACTGCAGGTGCGAGATCTCAGTGCGCACTGCTGGAACTCAACTGTGAGCGCCAGCTCCAAGTGGGCATTGCCCTCAACTGCGAGCGCCAGCTCTCAGTGGGCACTACGGGTGCGAGATCTCAGTGGGCACTGCCGGACTTCAACTGTGAGCGCCAGCTCTCAGTAAGCACTGCCATGCCCTCAACCGCGAGCGCCAGCTCTCAGTGGGCACTGCGGGTGCGAGATCTCAGTGCGCACTGCCGGACCACAACTGTGAGCTCCAGAGCTCAGTGGGCACTGCCGGAGCTCAACTGCGAGTGCCAGATCTCAGTGGGCACTGCCGGACCTCAAGAGCAGTTGAGGTCCGGCAGTGCGCGCTGAGATCTCGCACTCGCAGTGCCCACTGAGAGCTGGCGCTCGCAGTTGAGGGCAGTGCCCACTCGGAGCTGGCGCTCACAGTTGAGTTCCAGCAGTGCGCACTGAGATCTCGCACCTGCAGTGCCCACTGAGAGCTGGCGCTCGCAGTTGAGGCGCTCGCAGTTGAGGTCTGGCAGTGCCGGAGGAGGAGGAGGAGGAGGAAGGACAAGAGAAGAAAGATCTGATAAAATCTAGAGACCCTCACGGCAGGTGGAGAAATAAAACATATGGTGATTCTTTTACGCCCTATGTTTGGTAACGTTAGGAATTCTACCACGTTACTAAGCTTGGTGGTGTTTGTTGAGTTGATACCCGGCTAAGTTGCTTAATTTTTGTCGGGTCAGTTTATTTCAATGTGGCGTTTACCCGTCCAACCCGCCAAAAAAGCTAAGAATGTGAGCGTGGGGCTATCATGCAGTAAGAGCTATACACAACAAGGGACCCCCACTGTTAAAAGTTTCCTTATTATAACTTCAACAAGCGTATATTCGTAATAAATCCAAATTAGCCAGGCTAAAAAGCAAACTTCTATCTTTAAGGAGGGCCTTCCTTTACGAGCACTTTTCTTTTTACTTCACTACATGTGTTTTTTGTTTGATGGATTAAATATTTATTGCGTTCAATGTGCCTGGGTTCGTAACGTAATAGTTACAGGTGGTGTAGGGCCCCGTTCGGTAGATGCGTAAATGTGTTTTGGCGTCCTTGTTGTGTGGTATAGACCTTGAAGCAGCAAACCCCTGGTCAATCAAGACAGGGTACGGTACCACTGGAACTTGCATGTATATATATCTCACTATTTGCGGACCCCCCCAAACAGTGGATGTATAGTGGTGCTGCTTGGTCGGGAAAGATTCTCACCAACGGTTTTCCCAACATCCCTAGAATTCTTGATCACAATTTTAGAATGTCAATCCCGGATGGATGTCAACTCTGATTGTTTAAGAAAGAAACACGCCGAAAAACCGATCATCTGCTACCGAACTGGTCCATCCCAATGCGTCTGTTTATGCAGGGCTGGCATGTCTTGAGTGTGCTATAAATGGTCGTGTCAAACAGGTAGTCTGGCCAAAACTCAAGCATCGGTAGCTCAGCTTAGATAACCTTTGGGAGAAATGCTGTTGCTCTATCGAATCCCCCAAAAGGATGTTGCACCCCTTACAGGAACAAAACTATATATAATATATATATATATATATCTAATTGAAAACACAATATCGAGCTGCGGAGCTCTATTTACTTGAGCCCAAAGTAACATCGGGCTCACGTTAAACCCCTGGATCTTTACACTGCACACGAGGTGTATATATATATATAATTAATATATATATAATATATATGTATTATCAAATTTCAAGAGTAATGCTCTGTGGGGGGGGTACGGTCCTCAAAAATGATGGTACGGTGAAGGGTGCGGTACGTTGGGTACGGTGGTACGGTACGGTGGGTACAGTGGGTACAGTACGGTGGGTACGGTGGGTACGGTGGGTACGGTACGGTGGGTACGGTGGGTACGGTGGGTACGGTACAGTGGGTACGCTGGGTACGGTACAGTGGGTACAGTGGGTATACGGTGGGTACGGTGGGTACGGTGGTACGGTACGGGGGGTACGCTGGGTACGGTACGGTGGGTGCAGGTATACGCACCCACCGTACCCCCCGTACCGTACCCACCGTACCCCCCGTACCGTGCACCGTGCCCCCCGTACCGTACCCACTGTACCCACTGTACCCACCGTACCGTACCCACCGTACCC